TCACCTGAACAGTTTCACAAACAAACTTCATGAAAACATTACAAGTTACTTTTGAGAAAGTAATATTTTTGGTGGATAAATATGTTGATTAAACTTCAAATGTTTTATCCCTATAGCAATAAGAAGAGAGAGGAAGTTTATGTATCTGTAGGTGATGTACATATATTTAAATTCAGATGTTCAGGTGAGCTGCCATGTTGGCAGGTGCTTTTAACATTGTTGCTTTCTCCACGTTTGGCCAGTGTTGCATGTGTTGTCAATGTGCACTATAGAACAAAATACTCATATATAGCACACATTCCTAAATGCAGAGTTATTATTATTATTATTATCTTTAGGGGCAGGGCTGGGTTTTGTTAGGTAAATGTATCATGGATGAAGAATTGTTTAATTAGTCATGCCTTCAATATACTTATGGAAACGAATAAGGGAACACATGAAAGTACAAGAGTTCCTTTATTCTTTTCCAGATTTCTTCACAAGGTATGTATTGCAATGTGAGTGAAATTCTGGAAATAAATAAAGGAACACTTGTACTTTCATGTGTTCCCTTATTTGTTTCTATGAGTATATATCTGATGACAGTGACAATATTTTTCTTAAGATAATAACTTGGCAGTACTCTACATCTTGTAGAATAATAATTTTATGGATATGCAACTTCTTTATTCTGTGAAATCCAACGTTTCGACATAGATCCTTATGTCGTTGTCATCACTTGCTTGATAATGACATTAGAATCTATGTCGAAACATTGCCTTTCACAGAATAAAGAAGTTGTATATCCATAAAATGATCATCATTGTTCATCACCTCACCTTGATGTCCATCAAAGACGTCTAGATCTTGTGTCTGAACATCTCAAAGAGATCTCATGACCTCCCAGGCCTTCCATTTCCTCTGTAACCATGCAATTATTATGGTAACCAATTACTATGGCAACAAAGGTAACTGTATTAATCAAGGTACACAATATTATCCTATTGGTCAGCTGTAGCAGCTGATGGCATTTTCCTGTCATTGTGTGGCCTCTATTGCTGAGCACCGTCACTGATATGGGTAGACTCTTGTAACGTATCCACTTGTAAAACTAATCACAAGGGAAAAGCATGGAAAGAACTTGAAGTGAACATTCAGTAATTGAACGCTAGAAGTGTTTGTCATAGCTTAATAACCTGGGCCCACTGGCCCACGCTATGATAATCGATAATCGTAACTCCTGTCCTCTCACATAGATGTAAGACTGCCTTATCACTAAGAATGCTTTGCCCATGTTGGTCATGAAGCAGAAGATGGAGGATGAGCTTTATACCCAGTCATCTTAGGTGCTGCAACTTGCTCTGCAGACTTATGTCCCTTTGTGCAACCAGGAACTGCTGATCATTGTACCAATCCAGTTACCTGTCAGTTCATTCCTGTGGGTTTCACCAAAGTGCATATCATCAGACTCCATCACGTGTGGCTTTCCTCCCCTATCCAGCAAGCTCCTCACTACTGTTATAACCATCTCAAAGTGACCACAAATGTTAGTTTGTTAATGTTGAAGTTTGTTACACGCATTTTAACTAAAATGAACATCAATTGTACACTACCAAAAATCAGTTTGTTATACGAGTCAGTTCGCTATAAGAATGTTTGTTATAGATGTGTATTTGTGTTTTTGGGTTTTGTTGGGTTTTTTTTCTCGCTTTTTGGTTACATTTCCATCCATTTCAGAACAACAATACATACATGAGCAAATAGATGTACACAAGATTATGTTCGTTATAAATGTTGTGTCCTGTTGAAAGTTTGATTAGTTAAATGCTTGAGTATGTTAACAATTGATTAACGCAATGTACATGCTTCTTTCAACAAATGTTGTATGTTGGTGTGCAGACATTTTAATTTGCCTGTAGCTAAGCCTGTATTATGGTATGTTGAAGTGTGGTGAGACAGTTGTTCCAGTCAGACTTCTTCACATTGACAAGTCAGATTTGTTTCTATATCATTGTGAACTGGGTTTCAATAAGCGTTTGATATTTTGCTGTTTTAAGTAAAATTCTGTTTTAATTAACATGTCATCAAAACTCCATATTTGCTGGATACTAAGTCTTTTTGTTGAGATTTTGTTGAAAGCTTTGATGTACCTTTGTTCAATTTGTGTTATAATGGGACCAAAGTGGCTAAAATAGGTAGAAAAGTAGGAAGTTGATCTTCGAACTCACAGTGCTGTGTCTACTGCACCACATAACTCCAGTTTATTGTTACCTCTAAAACCAACTCCAGCCACACAATCAACTAATGGCAACCTTGCGCTTCACACTAGTGTCACAGCTCTTAACCAGTGACCTTGAACATTTCTTAAGGTAAATCTGACCTGTCTTTGAAACCAGTAAATGTTGATTTGCCTAAATGTGTACCTGGACAGTATGCGAAATAAATTCTGATTTTCTTTAGATTTATTAAGAAACAGATAATAATAAATAATAACTTTAGATTTATATAGTGCTGGTATCCAGTGATCACTGCTCAAAAGCACTCCTTGGGAGTTCTACATTGACTGGAGTCTTTTCTAACACATCTGTGGTGAACACATGTCTTGAGATGTTTCTGGAAAGTGGCAACATGTTGAATGTTTCTGATGTCAGTGGGGAGACTGTTCCACAGATTAGGTGCAGCTGCTGCAAAGGACCAGTATCCAAACGATGCGTTGTGAGATGCTGGCACACAGAGCAGATTCTGATCCCCCAAACGAAGAGTTCTTGCTGGTGTGTAACTGGTTATGAGGCTTTCGTAATACTGTGGTGCAAGACCATGCTTTGACATGAGACGCATCGAATGACAATTGTGTTACTGATGACAATTGTTGTACTTGTGCTGTTTTGGCTATGTGATCATGAAGGTGTGATCCAAATAAAGGGGTCAGCCAGTGAAAGAATAGGCTGATAGTGTTTGAAGATGGGTCCATGTCTTGTCAATACAGTGCACAACGCTCTCCATGTATCTGTGCATGCCTGCTTCCCCCATTCTGTTTGTAGTTTTGTTTAGTTACCAGTGTCTTCTTTCAAACATTTAGCCAGAGGCCTTTTTATGTACTTAACTGGCCAGTGTTGCTTTTTTAATATTGTATGTAAGTTGAAGTAAAAGCGTTACTTTCACTGATATCATCATATTATATGATAGTGTCTTTGAATACAATGGTGTTATCAAGAGAATCCACAAATTAGTTCAGTGTTTTTATTGGTTTCATTAATATTAAGAAAATAAATAGATTATTTGGGTAATCTGAACATTTCTTTGAGTGATCTAACAAAGCAAATAGTTACTTCGTGAACAAATATCTATTTTGTCAGGTCACATAATGAGACAGATAGCATCTATTTGGATTTCATTTTTTATTTTAGCCATTTTCTAAAATGTCCAAATTAATGACACAAAGGAAGTAGTTCTTTTGAACTTTTACTTGAACATAATTTGAACATCTTGTTTTGAAAAACAGTAGCATAAAAACTTCATACAATCCTTTCCGAATGTTTTTACAAACTTCAAAGCCTTGTTTGATGTGTTTGTTTACAAATGGAAACTATATCCACTGGTTCTGTGTTGTAGTTCATTGTCTTGCACAGGAATGGTAAACTGGGAGGCATCCATAGCACGTTAGGATATGTTTCAAGTGTTTTTTCTGTATGGTATTGTTTCAGTGTTAACCGTTTTGTCTGCACTGCTGTGATATTTATGTCAGACTGCATCTAATTATTTGCTCACGTAGTCAGTTCCCTTCGTTGTTGTCAACTGTGGTTGCTCAGCCTGTATATGATATATTCTACCTATCAGTATATCAAATGTACCCAGTATGATTTGCAGAATTCAGTAAACTAACAGCCTAGTGTGTATTATGATCAAAGGGAGATAATCAACTCACTGTGAACTTTTTCTAAATTCATCATAAACTTTTACCTTTTAGAAATTTGTCATTATTAGGAAAGGCAATGACCTAGAATAATTAAAATTAAATTCTCTTTGTTTAAAAAACTAGAAATTCATCATCAATACTTCATGGGTTTGTATTCCTCTTGTGAATATGTACAAGAAGCAGTGCTGTTAGTGTAATGTAATCTGAGCACTCCATGTTTATTTGCTTGCTGGAACCAGTCTGTGGCTTGATTCCTACACTGGAAATGTACAAATGTCTGTACAAACACTAGAAATATTTATGCTGCTGTAATTACAGCATGTATTCAATCTAGCAATAACTGATTATTGTAAATAACAATGTCCAGGTTTTACACAAAACATGAACTGGTCGCAACTCGGGGGAATCTGTTGGTGATCCAATGCATGCACTTGTCACTCTCGTGTAAATATTACTGACCCACTAATCACTCTTTCAGAAAGCATTTACAAGCGTTTCCAATCAGAATGTTAAAACATGATTTGGGGAGACCATTGCTGCAGAAAGTACAGATGTTAACAGGATCAAGAAGTCACTAGTTCTTCATTTGTATTGGAACAGTTATTGTCTAATGACAAATCATATAAGTCAGGTAGGATTGAACTAGACTGTAACACAACAAAATGTCAATGTTATTTGTTTTGTTTGATACAAATATGTAATTACTGTGAAGATTTCAGTTTGTATGGATGTTTTGGTGTACAGAGGTACTGGTGTTAACTCAAACATAATGTGATATGATCTATCAGCAATAGTACTATGTACTCTCATGTTATGTGTTTCAGACATACTCCTCATATTAACCTATACATGTTTCATGTTGACCATTAAACTGTATATTAACATCAAAATGTAGTTGTTTGTGGTTGGAGCGAGATTACCGGACTGAACGGACGATCAGGTACTCACAATGTGTACCCTGGATTCCAGTCTAAGTGATAATACCTTAGTGTGTGGTTCAGTAAAGTCGGTAACTATTACTCAGCTGAAGACCGTTGCTGAATCAAAATTAATCGAAAGACAACTATGGTAAATAAGTCAGAAACATAAACAATGAATAACCATGTCTCTGTTGAACTTTTAATCAACATCAATCATGCTTCATATACTTTCTTTCTTATTGACTGACGGTCTTGTGGAAACATTAAAGAGTTTGGCATTAAATAACAAATAAAACAGTAACTATTACTGTGGTACCTGACATTTATAGGCTAGTTCAACCAATGTTGTTTTTCAAAGTTGGATCATAAATAAAATACATGGTTCCATAGCTCCACTATGGGTTGAGTGAGCATTGCGTAACGCCGCATCAGCAATTTTGCATGTATTCACGACTGCACCACAGAACATCATTATCAGCAGACATTAGATGGGATCATGTTGATATCAAGCCATTTCATCACTTTCTATTTTTCTGTTTCTATGATTCTTTTTCAGAAATGCAAGCTGGGACATTTAGTTACAGGCAACACCCATCTATTGCCAAAGATAGCATACTTATGTGATCTCTTTAGTTCCAAACCCATGGGGATTAAATTTAAGTATATCGTCCCTAGCAACTGTTGCTGGTAAGGGGCAACTAAACATATTGGTGCCTTGGGTGATTGCATGCCATTATATCCTGAATGTACTGCTCCTGATGGCATTCAACTAATTGTCATGTGAAGACTTCATTATACAAACCGCATCAAAGTAAGGAGTTCAAACAACAAACCAACATCACCTCCAAACTTTAAAACAGTTTCAATCTGTCATACAATATGAAAAAAAGACACTTTTGTAACAAAACTTGTTTAATGTCACTTGTCTTGACTTTCAAAGTAAATTTGGTTGTTAATTTGCAACCAAACAAGATGGAAAATAGTTATCATTGTAGACAGTTGCTAGAAACTGAGATAATTTGTTAATGGTTGGTGATATATTCACAAAGCATGTTTTGTACAACCATCTCAACATCATATGTTTTGGAATATGCATTTAACATCAGCAATCTGTTTTTCCATTCATTTACAAAAGCAGCAACTGCTCACCACCTCAAGAACAGCAGCACTGAAATATAGATGCAGCACTTTGGTACAGTTGTTCCATCTTGCAAACCCTTTTCAATGACATGAAACCTTGGAAAAAAGTACACCTACAACTAATATCTATCACTTTTTAGTGCCCTTTGCACTTGAGTCTTTTTTGTCAGCATCTTTCGTCTTATCTTTATCTTCCTTATCTTTATCCTCCTTCTTCTCTTTCTTCTCCTTGGGGTCCTTTCCTTCATTCTTCTCTGCATCACGGTTCTGGATCTTGTTATTGATGAGATTGTGGAGTGCAATAATGGAACGTATCAAAGATGCCAAGTAGACAACCAACATCTGATCATTGGTCTTAACATACATGGATTTGACAAATTCTTGCAGGTTCACATCAGGAAGAAGGTTGAAGATATCTTGAAGCTGGTAAATGATTTGATGGTTAATGGGGAGTTGCCCAGATGTCACCTTTTCCAGATATGAGCTTATATCATTGATGTGTGAATGGAGGCCCTTCAGTCCCATCAACTGACTGGTGATCCTTTGAGACAGTGTGCCCACAGTTGTGTCCTTAATGTCCCTGCAATCATTAAATAAACCCCTGTACCTACTGACTGGACAGCAGTATAGGCACACCCTGAAGATATACCAGTTACACTGCAGCACAATTCTAACATTGTAACACCAGAAGACTGGGTCACAATATTTGTTTAACAACTGTTAACATCTTTAACAAATAATCTTACGCACACATTTGTATTGCAGTACCATTGTACAGCTCAATATCCAGTCCTGCATGGTAACCAACCTGAGCAAATGTTCAACTCCCACTTCCTCTGCCTCTTCTGCACCAATTTCACTGGGTACATGATCGAATGTTTTTGAGGTGGGGGTTCCATCCTGAAACAGACAAATCAATAAGAGACGATGATATACAAGCATTCTCTTACCATATCATGTTGTACCATGGACCACTGTGCATAATGTTGGTTTGTTGTTTAACACCACATTCAGCAATATTCCAGCTATATGGTGGCAGTCTGTAAATAATCGAGCCTGGACCAGACAATCCAGTGATCAGCAGCATGAGCATCGATCTATGCAATTGGGATACGATGACATGTGTCCACCATGTCAGTGAGCCTGACCATCCGATCCCGTTAGTTGCCTCTTACAACAAGCATGGTTACTGAAGACCAATTCTAACCCAGGTCTTCATGGGGTGTGCTTAATGTGATCATGCTGATCTGTAATTATCTCACCAGAATTTTACATATGGACATGAATATGACATTCCTTAAATGTCAAATGAAATCTTTTGACATAAAATGTCTGGACAATACTGAACTGAGAGAACAGAGAAGAGATATTATGAGCAGTTATTGATGAGAAAATGACAACAGTACTGTATCCTGCATTGTGAACAGTAACTTACATCATGCACTTCTTCCACTGACACATAAGCTTCAGTAGGCAGTCCCAAGTCCTTTGGCTTTGCATCAATTACCACCAACACCTGAAGTCAAGGATTTACGATTGATACATTTGAATCAGTTCTTGAAAACAAATAAGCAGTTTTGTTTTATAGTGAGTGAGTGAGTTTAGTTTTACGCCACGCACTCAGCAATATTCCAGCTATATGTCGGCGGTCTGTAAATAATCGAGTCTGGACCAGACAATCCAGTGATCAACAGCATAAGCTTCGATCTGCACAATTGGGAACCGATGACATGTGTCAACCAAGTCAGCGAGCCAGACCACCTGATCCACCTCTTACGACAGTTTTGTTTCATAAACCATTGTAAAATATATTAAAGCTGGGAAAATAGTAAGTACACATTCAGTAGCCTCCATAAATCTAATCCAATGTCCAGTGTGTTCATTTTGATGAGCTTGGTGAGCCGAAGTGAGCAGAAAATCATATGTTTTAGTGTCAGACTGAACCATGACAATAGAGCTGTGACAATGTCTAATTGACACGAATAAACCAAATAAAGTGACACTTAAATTTTTGGCTTTATTTAGAAACTTCACTTAAATCAGTTCCATTCAATAATATGATTTGATCAATCAGAGGAAAATGACAGTAAGATGTTTGTTGTTCATCACCATAATCATTGATACATGGTGGTGGTACATAAATAATCAAATCTGGATCAGAGTACATCATATAATGTCGAACATCACACGTTGTTGGAATACTGTGATATGCCAGGTTACTGGGTCTGTCAACCAAATTAATTTAGCAGCCCCTTACAGAATCATGACATTACTTACTGAGTTGGGGTTGTATCTTCTCACAAGTTCATTGATTGCCACATCATTGGGGTGAAGTTTGGGGCCAGTATGATACCATCCCACAATCTTCTCACGGGCTGTTGGAACAAAAAGCTACATATAGAAAACAATAGCATATGAAACATGCACAATATGCTTGATAAGAAAATTGAAGCAGACTCCATAGAAAAGTATGCCCGTGATGCAGCCTTATGCAACACATCAAGCTTATTTTCTATTTCTCGAAAAGGCAGCCTGTACCTTGTTTTCTGTCTGAAAAATCCTGCTTAGTTTACGTTGAAAACTGTTTAAATTTTAAATGCAAGCCATTTTACTTGTAAAGTAAACATTTCATCAATGAACATTTTGATAATGTGATATTGATGACGGCCTAAAAAATTATGCTTAAATTGACAGCTTTCAATGTCAATACTCCTTTCTGTTAACCATGCAAATATATTACCATTGACTTTCTTGAACATTCCATACATATTCTCCAAGTAGTCATGGTCAAGGAACCACACATTCCTGTCCTTGTCATCTTCATCAAATGGAACTGAAAGAGAAGTTATCATCACATATAACATGTATAAGCTATAAAAAAATGATGCCATGATAGTCTATTCCAAATTCTACTAAACTCAATTCATGTAAATTTCTCCTTGTTAATCATTCTTAGGATGTGTAGATACAAATCAATGTTTGGTTTTCTCGCTAAAGAGATTAGTTGACAATACTTTACCACAAGCCCACATGTGCTGTCTTAAATAATCAGCGCATGTTGCAGTGGCGATTAGCATCCTGGACTGACACTTTGATGCACATGGGCAGTTGAGACCTCATAATAATTGTATGAACTTTCATCAAATTATATAGGGAAAAGATGTAACCCACTCTAACTAACAACTACTCCTAAGGACCAAAAAGGGTTGTGCCTGGTAAAAAGCAGTCTTTACATCATACTCAATCAAAACATTACAATTAACTGATCTGTCATGCTTGATAAAGATACAATATATAGAATGTCAACAATATAATATGTCTGCCACCTATGACATGCCAACAGTTAAATGTAATTCATCTGTAAAGTATGCTTATCTGGGACACCTGCACTTTATGGGTCCCACCACCTTCATACTTACCTGATACCTAACCCTCGCTAGAGTAAACAAAAAATGGTGTAAACTTCTGGGGACTTGTAAAGTGTACACCATATGCTCAGCAGCTGTATTCTTTCATTTGTTTACCCCTTGCAGCCAGCTGACTGGTACACAACACTACCACAAGCCAGTGACACCAACATGCTTTGTTTTGTAAGTTTAGGACTCCTTCTCTTTGTAAGGAACACAAAACACCAAGTCCTTTTCATGCTCTCCATAAAAAAGCCTTTGAGAACCAAGTTTAAAGTATCGAACAAAATCCGTATATATATGGTAGAGTCTTCCCATAATCATGATAATCATTATTAGTTAATAGTATTTATGACAATGAATGATTCACATACGCTTTGGGACAAAACCATCAATACGCATCATTTCACGTTGGACCTTCACGTTACAACGTTTCAGGAGGGCAAAACAATTAGCGTGGTCTTTACATACCTGCAAAGCTGTTTGATATGTCAAGAATTCCTTGTCTGTTGGCTCCAAGCAAGACACCGACAACGCGTTTGACGTTGCCGACTTTGCCCATACGATTAAAATGGTCCACGACGCTCAATAGGACAAGTGGATGAACGACCACTTTACTTATTTGTTTGCTTGGTTCCGTAACAGGCATTCTGTCTGTCTTGATTTGACTAAAGATGATTAAGATAAGCTTATATTTCTCAAACACCTATTAACGAAAATGCTTTCAATTTTCCTGAATCATGTCGGCATGGACTTCCGCCGGAAAACGGAAGCGGATATTTGATAGATCACTACACGGAAACTTTGATCAGTTTGAAAAAGCAAGAACAGTTTTTATCATATCGTCGAAACGGCTCTGGAAATAAATGAATGTACATGTGTTTATAATTACTAACTTTTGCTTTGCTTGCATGTACATAAATGGAAGGTATACGTTAGAACTATTTTCTGCGCGTATGTTCATGGTCACAAAAGTGATAAGGCGTTTTTGTTTACAGGTGCTTGGCAATGCATTGGAAGATGGTGGAGTAGCTAATGGGGTTGTAAATTATGCAGAAGTCAGTCTCACCTGAGAGAGTTCCGCGAGAAGCGCTTCACGAGCAGCATGAGCGACTTACCACGAAACACATTCAGACACTGTCGTTCGTACAGGACATTGTTAATGAGAACAAACAGCTCAAGGCCCGAGTGGATCAGCTTGAGGTGGTCTACTTTAACGAAAACTGTATTTAATATGATTATTGTTATGTCCGTAAATGTTGATATCGTTTTTTAATATGCAATTTCTCGAGCTTGACAGTATTGATAAGGTTAGATTGAATAACATCGAAGCGAATAAAAATAATAGCCCAAGCAACAGTATTGATGATGATGATGATAATAATAATCCATGCACAATCAAACTTTAAGCACTTCGACATTATCACCCTGGTCAATGTACTCACTATTCATTCTCAGCTGATGAGGGTGTATACAACATCAGTTGCCTGTGAGGTTCTAGAAATTTATCTGTCACATTAACAGATATGTCCTGTTACTGTTAGAAGCATCTAGTGTACCATAATAAGCATATGCTAGGGATGATGAGAAAATGACAGTAAAATATTTTTCAATTCTTGCTTAATGTCTCAACAGTATATTACAAAATCTTATGTGACATTGTTTGTGAAAGTATGGTATGTTTTCGTAAAATGTAGCTTTATCATTAGGGCATATTTTGTTTGGTCCAGTTTGATACTGCTTTCACATGGTGACATTTTTTTATACATTAATGTTTTAGATACAAACCATTTCCCTTTATATTTACTTTATGATCAAGGTGATTGTGATATGTATTTATGTCATCCTCCACAAACTTGTTACACAGGGAATCCACAAAGAGTATGAATTGCTGGAGAAGATGGAGGATGACCATCAGGATCGTATCAAGCAGATCCAGGAGCAGTACATTAACAGAGCAGACGAAATAAATGCCATGCTGGCAGAAAAACATAAAACAGAGGTTTGCCCTTAGAATATGATTATATATCACAGTTATAACAGTTAGAACATGGGTCATTTTCAGGGATTTAAACTGGTCCAGAAAGGGCTAGGTGTCATGCCCCGGTTGATTATACTACTTTGTTAAAAATATTGAAACTTATAGATATCAATTTCATTATTTCTGGTTAGAATAGGTCTCCAGACATGTATGATTGTGGAAGTTTACAGAATGGATAGAGTGGTCTGGCTTGGTCAGGACGTAAATATACCTCCAACACCATGGAAATATGCTCATGCTATCAGCTTCTGGATTGTGTGGTCCAGATTTCATTGTTTAATGCTATTAGCATGATCTATTGTGGGCTTTTGTTTTGAGTGACTTGATTTTGAGATTCTATAGAAAGGAGAGTCTGGCGCAAATAATGTTCTCTCTTTACATATGTATGTTGGAACCATGATGGATGCATTGGCGCCAATATGCATCTGTTTCTTTCTTATATTGTTAACAACATACCTATCTTATACAGATTCTACAGCTGGTGGATGAGAAAGTTGAAATTGAAAAGAATGCTTACCAAGAAATTACTACAGTGAGTTGCTTAAATACAAAAAAAGTAACAATGATATATAAAGTACATAGAGGAATCTCATTTTCAAGAGTATCAGACTGTTTTTGTTTGCTGTGTCAAGTTGCATGCTTGAACATGCCAGAAATCTATGAGCCCTGTTGGTCCCAAATGCATTCTGTGATACTGATAGCAAAACCGCATTGGGATTCCCCTCCCCTTATAGTAATGTATTCTCTGATGATATTCCTAATTGGGATTCCCTTCCTCTGATAGTAATGCATTTTGTCATAGTACCGTTACATACCTCATTGGTATTCCACTCACCTGAAAGTTATACGTTCTGTGATGATATACCTCATGGGGATTCAGGAAATAATCTGTTGTTATCATTAAATGCACATTTTATCTGCTTAGCCGCTCCACTAGTAACCATGCTGAGAGCTAACATATAGATGTTCAGTGTTTACTAAGTGTGTCCAGGGGCTCCTTTCACCAAGCAAACTTTACTAAGGTTATCCTTAACTCCAATTCTTTAACACTGCACTAAGGTTACCTTAGTGACTTACGATCACCTTAGTGCTTTGTAAAAGGAGGCCCTAGCTGATTGTGTGTCATCCCATTGAGTATGGCTCATTGCCCAACCACTGCTTGTTTACTGTGACAGACAGGGATTACACCGCCGCTTGTAGAAGGACATTGACTGGATCCATGTTATCCTGATTATCTGTTGCAGCTGAAGGCTGACATTGAGGTCCTACAACAGACCAACAGACAGCTCCTGGAGCAGCTGGGGCCTCTCACTGACCTCCAGGACGAAAACAAGGTGGGAATACAGTCATAGTTATGAATATAATGTTAAACCCAGTATTCAAGTAACCAGACGTGCATATTAGGATACTATCTGTGATTAGGAATGACTTATTATGACCACGGTCATGGTTTCACGGTCTGTTTTAACTGTTCCAGTGTTTTGTATTGACATTCTTGTTTGACAAAGTAGATTTGAATTTTTCTTATCCCATTCATGATCATTTATCAATCATTGATTGCTTTTTAAACCAGTGATCAACTCTGAAATTATTACCAATATAATATTTATTTGATAGGTTAAAACAGATATATAGACTGTTCTTTTTCCCACATGTTACAATGTTTGAAACCTTTGTCAACCTCCATCCTGGTACTGCTGGACTGTTAGTGAAGTTATAATAACACCCAACTCACTCAGACAATGAGGAAATACTGCTTCACTCATTAAAATATCAGTTATTTCACTGAACAAATACCTGTTATGTAACAAACTTATCCAATTCAGTCTTTATATATCTTCAGTCTCTAAAAAAAGATCTGGAAAATGCGAAGAATGAAAATGAAAATTTGAAGTCCGAATACACCAAGTTGGAAGAGACGTCTGACAGCAAGGTTGATGTACACCACCTCCAGGGACTAAAAGTTCAGAATGAGGCTCTCCAGCAACATGTCAATGAACTGGAGCAGAAGAAGCATGAAATGGAACACAGGATCTCTCGATTGGAGGCCGAGGTGGTTGAGAAGTCACAGGATGCGGACAAAGTCAAACTCATCGATAACCTTCGCCTCAAGCTTGAGAAACTACATAAAGAAAAGACCGACCACTTGACAAGGCTGACTGGTCATGAAGCTGAGATTCAGGACCTTACAAGGGAAAATGAACAGCTGAAGGGTTCGCTTATCCAGCTTGAAAAGGAGAAAGAAAAGCTTGTTTTGGAATTCCGGAATTTATTTTATGAACTCCAGTCACTGAAGAAACAGTTGTCACATGACCAGGACAAGAAGACATTCAGGGACTTTGTGATGGTGAAAAGAGAAGTGAATATGTTAAGAGAGGAAAATGCTGTTCTGAAACAGAAAAATAAATTGACGGTAGAGAAGCTGCCGTTCCTGAAGCCTGACCGACCACCCTCTGGCACCAAGGGCACAGAAGCCAGGGACATTAACAAGAAGCGTCAGTTAGCATTGCCGTCATCTGGGCATGCTTAATAGAAGTAAGTCACCATCATGAAGGCTGACGGGCCACCCTTGGGCATTGATGGGCATAATCTAGGGACACTAACAAGAGGTGTCATTAACTGTTTCCGTCATCTGGGCATGCTTGATAGCAGTTAGATTCCCTTCCTGGAGGCTGACAGACTATCTTCCACACCAAGGTGTGAGAATCCAGGGGCTCTTTACAAAAGGCATCAGTTAGCATTGCTGTCATTAGGGCATGCTTGATAGAAGTTAGATTCCCTTCCTGGAGGCTGACAGCATGCTTGATAGAAGTTGATGTAAGTGTATTTGGGGCTTCTGTCAGTGCTATGAATTTCAGTGTATGAATTTCTTATGTATTTCTGGAAGCAGTTTATGACGTCTTGATTTGAAACCTGTTCTCAAAGTACTATACTTGTCTAGACATTTTAAGAGATGATATTTTGTACATGAAATTGGTTTAAAACAAATTCTGCTTTCTAACTTCAGTTTTAGCCTGAAAATTGTATTCAGATGTAAGATATATTATATGTGCTGCCTTACCTAGGCTACCTACCTACCTGTTTGTATGTGGCCTTAACATGGAGAATATTAGTGATGCTTGAGATTAGCTACCTACCTACCTGTTTTCATGTGGTCTTAACATGGAGAATATTAGTGATAGTTGAGGTTAGCTAGCTACCGACCTACCTCGTTTTATATGGTTTTAGCATGAAGAATATTAGGGATAGTTGAGGTTAGCTACCTACCTACCTGTTTTATGTGACCATAACATGATGAATTCTTATGTCAGTTGAAGTTATCTGAGTCAACAAATTAACAATTACCCACATCAAAGCATTGCCCTGACTCTACAAGCATTCTTGACCAACTTCTAAACCAATATAATCTCTAAAGTTCTGACATGGGACTAAAAATTTGAAAGACAGTCCCCAGTTTCTTATGTAAATTACAGATTGTTTACAGCGGTCACTATGGTGAAGAAGGACAATATAATTTCTTTGTAGTTACACCAATGTGTGAGTTTGTTCTTCACCTCCCAGTTAATAAGCATCCCCAATACCAATCTGCTAAGTGCCTGGAGTGCATGTTAGGGTTTATACCAATCTTCTAAGTGCCTGGAGTGCATGTTAGGGTTTATACCAATCTTCTAAGTGCCTGGAGTGCATGTTAGGGTTTATACCAATCTTCTAAGTGCCTGGAGTGCATGTTAGGGTTTATACCAATCTTCTAAGTGCCTGGAGTGCATGTTAGGGTTTATACCAATCTTCTAAGTGCCTGGAGTGCATGTTAGGGTTTATACCAATCTTCTAAGTGCCTGGAGTGCATGTTAGGGTTTATACCAATCTTCTAAGTGCCTGGAGTGCATGTTAGGGTTTATACCAATCTTCTAAGTGCCTGGAGTGCATGTTAGGGTTTATACCAATCTTCTAAGTGCCTGGAGTGCATGTTAGGGTTTATACCAATCTTCTAAGTGCCTGGAGTGCATGTCAGGGTTTATACCAATCTTCTAAGTGCCTGGAGTGCATGTTAGGGTTTATACCAATCTTCTAAGTGCCTGGAGTGCATGTCAGGGTTTATACCAATCTTCTAAGTGCCTGGAGTGCATGTTAGGGTTTATACCAATCTTCTAAGTGCCTGGAGTGCATGTTAGGGTTTATATGGTTAATGAACATGAATACTTAGGTTTAACTGGTCAACGTTTGTTATTTCTCATTTATCATTTTGGTTTGGTCAAAAGCTGACCACATAGTGCACTTACCATGTTTAATGTGTCATGATTTACAGAGGATGGGGGTATTTTGCGTTTGGTCAAAGCCCGGTTCGACCACATAGTGCATTTCTGGTGTTCCAATAGTGCTAAAAGCGGCGTAAAACTAAACTCAGTCAGTCATGATTTACAAAGTTTGATAACATGTTCACAGGAAAAGAAATGTTTTTGTGAGCTGATTGACCATGTCCGACATGGCAAATTTTCAAATGTCAAACATGGAAACTGTTAATCATATGGATGAGATTGAAAAATGTGACAGAAAATGTTAACCACATGTTGAAGTGACAAACAAAGTGATGATTTTGATGATGTAAATTATTGTTTGATATCCCTTTATGAATTACACCTGTTATTTGTCAGCACATTCCATCCTGTCCAAGATGTCAAAAATATGAAATCTCTATCAAAGATATGTATTTTTATTGACCAGATTTATCATATTTTCAACCCTACAGAAATGTTATATATTTATTATATGTTTATTTCCTACTGTCAGCCGGTCTACGCAAGTATGTCATACATTATTTTACATCATTGAATGGTGTAGTATTTTCATTACAAACGTATTCTGTTACCATGGTTACCATAACACATTTACTGACATGTATCATGTTTGTTATAAAGATGATTTCATTCCACAACTTGTCTTTTTTCTGTTTTGATTTCATGTCACACAGTTGCAGTCACTGTCAAGATATTGCAGCCTCTTGTGGAGACTGTTGGAATTGGTTGCATATGATGGCACCTTAACTGTCTGTCAACCTCTGTGAGTGAGTGAGTTTAGTTTTACACCGTACTCAGCAATATTCCGGCTTTATGGCAGCGGTCTGTTAATAATCGTGTCTGGGCCAGACAATCCAGTGATCAACAACATGAGCACCGAACTACGCAAGTGGGATGCAATGACATGTCAACCAAGCCAGCGAGCCTGACCACCCGATCCTGCCAGTTGCCTCTCACGACAAGCATGGTTACTGAAGACCAATCTAACCTGGATGTTCATGGGGTAATCAGCCTCTGTGATTTGATTGATTGCATGTCAACACACTCTGATAGTTTGGCTCACAATATCAGTCAGTGGTTTGTTTGGTTCAAACTCCATAGCCTTTAGGCAGTATCTTTGTGAAATGGTACTATCTAATCTACAGTTCATTCTGGACTCTATAGATACCTAGAATCAGGAGGAATATGGATGGACAAAGACTAACACAGATGCAAATATATACTACTGGAATAAAGTAACTGTGCATTATTTGATGTTATGCCATTGTTTAATGCAAAACGATAATAACATGATTTGAGGTGTTTTCCTTAATTACTGTTTAACTGTTGACAGGTTAATATCAAAATATGTATGATTTGACATTAGGCATCATGGCACCCACTTGAAGAGATGTGGTGTCAAAAGACCGTTCACAAATTCAGTATCGTGTGTCCACAATTAGCTTGAAGCAGGCTTGACAATGCTGCCACATAGATGACACTTAGATTGAAGAAAGCATGGTGAATGTTGTTCCATGTCCCAAGCATTAGAAGACAGGTCCAGAGAAAGAGCTGGCCAGGGGAGTACCAGAATGTTCTGCTGTCTCAGGAAATCTGTTAAAACACGAGCGACATGTGTGTCAAAAAGCCTGCAAAAGGGGAGTAAGTTCATTGTGCACAAAGTGCAATCTAACCCTGATGGGAAAAGAGATTATATTTTCTCAGTTGATTTCACGACAGTGCGCGTTGATCTAAGGTAGATAATCGATGGACGTCACACTCATCACAGTGACTGCAAATTGGTCTCATGGATCCCCATGCGCGGATCCGGGGGGGGGACCCAAGAGTGTTCCAAATGTACATGTTTTATGCCGAGGATTCCCCCCCTCCCCCACGAAAATCCTGTATCCGCCCCTGGATCCCTGCTATTCAATGAAACTGCCAGCAAATTTCCCCGTGCGTGTACCATATTTCCATTGTTGTTGGTAAAGAATATATATGTCAGGGTAGAGATTGCGATCTGGTAGCATTGGAGATTCTACCAGTAGAGATTGCGATCGGAGTCTCTACCAGAAGAGATTGCGATCGGAGTCGTGACTGGTAGAATCTCCGATCCTACTACGTATAGTAGAGATTGCAATCGGAGTCTCTATACTGGTACAATCGGAGATTCTACCAGTACCAATTCCAATTTAAATGGTAGAAACTCTGATTGATCTGTGGCAAACAACAAAGATGACAACAATTGTACAAATTTATGGAGAGATGGAGAAGTGTAATAATACTTTGGGAGCAGGGCCTGACGAAGATTATTATAAAAATTACATTCTAAGCAGAAGTGATAATCAGACTCAATAATGGGTACAATGCAAAAATGGCATAATCTTTCGCTCCTTGCTAGGCCGATCTTTCGTCTTTCCTCGATGAGCAGTTGATGATTACAGAGTGCAATACGGTAAACTGGTACACTAATTAGCAATAAATAATCCTCACATTTAATTTCACTTTTAACAGATTTATATAACCGAAGTTTGGAATAACTTGATATACTTTCAAAGAAACACTGGTTATCAATAGCAATATACCTTTCCTTAAAACTTGAAATAAAACTGTTATTACAACCTACATCTTTATTAACCCATACATAGCCGAATACCTTAGTTTTTTCTATATTTACCTTTAGCCGCCATTTATCACAATAATTACTTTACTTATCGAGCCTTTTTGTAATCCCATAACTGTACTATAACAACAACAAAACAGGAAGGTGGGGAAATGACCGGCCAGATATATATTTGGGTTAGAGTTATATTTATTTACAATAACAATCATAAATGAAAACAAAGTAACAATGTTTTATTTTCATTTTGTTTGTAAACATCAAGTTGGACAAACAGTGTGCACTTTTCAATGGATGATGTCATTCTACAATATACAAAAATACATTTTGTTTTTCTAAATATTCACTTAGATTGCAATCTCTACTAGCAGGATCAGATTTGAGCTTCTACTGGTAGAGATTGCGATTGTATAGGTTATTCTATATAATCAGAGTCTCTACTGGTAGAGACTCCGATTGCAATCTGTACTAGTAGGATCGGAGATTCTGCCAGTAGAGACTCCTGTCGCAATCTCTACTGGAAGAGACTCCGATCGCAATCTCTACTGGTAGAATCTCCGATCCTACCAGATCGCAATCTCTACCCTGACATATACATTAAACAATTAAACTTATGGCTCGAATCAGTTGTTGAATGTTTAGTGATAATCGTTCTCCCACAGTGCTCACATATAGATAAAACGTATTAATATAAATTATATGGTCTCTGTATAGGAGAGTTTCATATTCCCAGATAGATATATGATAAACGGATGAGTTTCATGGTCGTATTACATAGGAGAGTTATATTCACAGATAGATATATGATAGACGGATGAGTTTCATGGTCGTATTACATAGGAGAGTTATATTCACAGATAGATATATGACAGACGGATGAGTTTCATGGTCGT